CCTATTAGGCTGGCAAAAATTTAAATGTCAGACAATTCAAGTGTTGGTGAGGACATGCAGCAACAGGAACTTTTATATGTTATTGTTGGTTATATAAATTGGTACAATCATTTTGAAAAATTTTCACATGGTCTTGTGGAGCTGAAGATAAACATGCCCTATGGACCAGGAATTCCATTCCGAGGTAAAGGTTCTATAGAAATCTGTGTTCGTATGCTTTATCACACACACACACACACACACACACACACACACACACACACACACACAAATACACTCACTCTCAGAACAGTATTGCTTATAATAGCCCAAAGATTGACATAGCTTATGTCTATCAATATTAAGAGTAGATAAATAAATTGTAGAATATCCATGCAATATAGTAACCTAAACAATGAAAATGGATAAACTACAGCCACATCTTACGGATGAATCTTAAAGACAGATAGCATTGATCAAAAAAAAATTAAGATGTGATAAAAATTTACTCTATGACTCCATTTACAAAGACTTCAAAAATTGGCATAAGCTATATTGTTTAAGAATGAATAAGTAGGCAGTAAAACAATAAATAAAAGCAAGACATGTTGATAATCATGATAGTGGTTATCTCTAGGCACTTGGGGGTTATAAGGGAAGGGACATCCTGGGGCCTTTTGGAGTGTTGGTAATGGTCTACTTTTTCACGCAGTGGAGTTACATGAGAGTTTGAGTTATAGTGTTTAAGTAGTACATTTCTGTTTTGTGAACTTTTCTGTGAGTTTGTTATATTTCCCATCATAAAAAGTTTACGCTAATCTTCTCTTTTTACTCCATTCTTCCTGATTCTTCCTCATTAGTAGCATCTACAGTGCCTCATAGAGACTTAGAGTTGTTATAGCAAGATTACAAAGACTGAACAAACAATTTAGTCTTTAAAAACAAAAACACTTCCAAAGTAGGGTCTTGAGAATAACGAAAGCTTTGCTGAGAGTAAACATAGCATTTGACCTTATTTCTCTTCCAGCCTTGGCCAGGTTAGCTAAAAAAACCCCCCTTGAACTGGGAAGGAGTTTATGGAGTATAACACTGAAGAAGATTGGGAGACCAGGGAGTAAAAGGTGAGGTTTTATGGCAGTGGTGGAAAAAGAGCATCAGAGTAGTCTGAGCACCATTTCAGTGGACAGGGCCTGGGGCCTGGGCTAGAAGCCAGGAAAGCTGATATCAGAGCAGCCTGTGAGGGCTGCCTGCTCTGCCTGATATGTGTCTTCCAGCAAAGGACACCATCTTTCCTCTGAACTGCCTGGTAGAGAGCCTAGGACACCTCTGTTGAAGATGGAGAGTGAGGTCTTGGACTACCTGGTACTGTGCCATCTTTCTCTCTCCATTCTTCCCATCCCCTATGCTACTACAGGTTTTATTTTGCACCCAAAAATCTATATTTTAAAAAGTACCTTGGGTAACTCTCAGGTAAGCGGCCTATGGTACTAGAGTATCATTGCCCAGAGAAATTCCCTGATAAAAAGAATCACCAGCTGCAGTTGTTAAAAAATCCAAATTTCTGGGCTCTATACCAGACGCGTAGAATCAGAATCTCTGGAGAAGGAGCCTGAGAATTTGTTTTTCTAACAAAGGCCCCAGGCGACTCGCAGGGAAGTCTGGGAAACTGCTCTAGAGATTTTTTTTTCTGCTTTCTTGCAATATATTTAAAAAACCAAACATTTATAAGTAAAGATATTTGCATTTTGAAAAAATAAGTACCTTGTGGGAAAGGATGGATTATAAACTGTAAAATGTTTTTTCTCCACTTCTCAGTGCTGCAGATCCATAGATCTGTTTACATGACATCTCTTCTTGAAGTCACAAAAACATCTTAAACTCAACGTGTTCAAATTAAAATCAACATCTTCCCCCAAACCAAATTCTATTTTATTTCAGTGTTCCTCATATCTTGGTAATAGCCTTGTTATCCACTCACTGGGCTGTACAGAAATCCTGTCATCCCTTACTCCTCCCTCTCCTTCAGTCCCCATTCTGCTCCATGAAATCTAAACCCATCACCAAGGTCTCCCATTTTACTTCTTACATTGTTTCATTTTCCCCACTTGTCTCCATGTCCTTGTTCCCACCCAAATATACTTGAACTACTACCAATACTAAGTACCACCCATAATTCTTAATTGGTCCAATGCTGGCCGTGTTCATATTCTCGTGCTGCAGCTGGAATGCTCTTTCAAACACAGATCTGATCAGGTCAAATCCCCTCTCCACTTCACTCTCAAAAAAAAAAACAAAAACGGTTCTCAGTATGGCCAGTGACGCCCTGCTTAGTCTGGTCTCCAGCTTCATACTGTATGTAGCACTCTCTCCCTGGAATCTAGGCCCTAGCCACAGTGGCCTCCTTTCATTCCCCCAGGCTTGCATGTTCCCTCTTGACTAAAGGCCTTTACATAAAATGTTTCCTTTTCTCCTTTCTTCAGTTTTTCGTCCTTTGGATCTTCATTCCAGTGTGACTTGCTCTAATCTTTCCGAACAGATCAATGAATGACCCTACTGTAAGCTTTGTTAGCGCCTATATCTCTTGCAACTGTCATTTATTTTTCTAAATAAGTGGGGCTCACTTATTTATTTAGTTGGACCTTTTGGACTTCCTTTGACTAGAGTGGTTTCCTTCCTTTCTCATCTTCTTTGGTGTTCTTCCAATTTCACTTGCTAAGAATATAACTCAGTATAATTTTAGGATTAGTAGGGAATAACTCTTTTAATATTTGGACTCAGTTAAAGTACCACCTTCATTGGCTTTCCCATATCCCCTCTGACTGATGTTGCCTTATTGTTTTTCAATCACTTGAACATTTGTCTCTACCAGTGTTTATTCACTCTATTTTTTTTAACTTTATTGGGGAACAGTGTGTTTTTCCCAGGACCCATCAGTTCCAAGTCAAGTTGTTGTCCTTTAATCTTAGTCCAGTCGCCATTTTCAATCTAGTTGCAGGGGGCACAGCCCACCATCCCATGTGGGAATCGAACCGGCAACTCTGTTGCTCAGAACTCACACTCTAACCAACTGAGCCACCTGGCTGCCCCGTTTTTTATTTTCTTGAAGGTTTCTCTCACTAGTGTCAGTTGCTTTAAGACAGCGGTTTTATTTATCTCTGTATCCTCAGCACTTAACACAGGGTTTTGTCCTCAGTATTTGGAAGGACCCCTGTAGCCTGTAGTCTAGCTGTACAGTACATATGTTGATTTCTCAGCTTCTAATATCTTCCCTCACTGTGCCTAATAAACTCTTACCACTTGATATAAAGGAGGCAGTGAGTGGTACAGTGTTACCTTCAACAATATACATTATCTTCCTACTTTTCAGTTTCCTCATTTAAAAAATGATACCTTAAAAGTTTGTTGGGAAGATTAAAAGAGTTAATGATTCAGTACTTCTCTCCTGCCCCTTGCCAGGTCAAATGTCTCCTCTTCTAGAGCAATTACCTAGAGAATTTTGTCACAGGATTAGGTTTTTGGAATCTCTTGCACTCACCCAGCTCTTCTCTGTCTCCTTCCTCCAGTTTTTCCCCCCTTTACAATAGGCCTTGATGGCTCAATTAAAACTAGAGAACAAATCTTTAGCAAGTGGAAAACATTTCTTCCTTATTCTCTTAGGAAAAGAGATCTTCCTGAGATGAGATGTAGTAATTGCATAATTGCACAAGCCTTTTTTTAAAATAGTTTGAAATAGCAAAGGTTGGAAAACAAAATAGTTAAATTTCTGTATCAAAACAGGTGAAATACGTACTTTTTTACTTTGTAAATTTCTAGATTTATCAAGTGCCTGACCCAGAGTATAGAAGAAGTAAACTTTGGTTCCTTTCCCTTCATCCTTAGAAGTTTACAAAGCTGTAAGTAAAGATTTTAGCAGCCAGGACAAGCATCGCCACAGTGAATTATCTGGTATATGGTAGCTTCCAGGATAATAAATTATTCTTACCATCTAGACACTACATTCAGTTTCTTTTCTTACTTTACCTGTTTGCGCTGTCAAAGTTTAAGCAGCACATTAAAATGATTAGACTCTTTAAAAATCGTGGAAACATTTCATTATTTTAAAATGTGTATGTGACTAAAATAGAACAATCCCATGAAAAATGTTTGCACACAGGGTTAAAACATGTCACAGGGGTAAAACATGACAAAAATTTTAGCTGAAGTTTCTCTACTCTTCTCCACATTAGTGGTTCAAGTATCATTTGTTATTTAGATTTGTCATTCCCAGTTGACTAGGAAATTTAACGCTCTTTAGCCAATGTTTCAAATCTGAGGCAAATGTACCCTGGGGGGGTTTATTTGTGGGCCCCTGACGGGAGTATTCTTGAGGTGATAGTTTTAAGAAAACTCAGCTTACGTTGTTCTCCACAGTTTGAAATCAACATCATTTGGCATTTTAAGCTTACCACACACCTCTGAGGTAAGCCTCTAATCATCAAATGACTCTTTTTTGACGTCCTCGAATGATAAAAGCCTGAAGTCTAGGCTGAATGTTTTCCAGTGGCTTCTTTGGAAACTGGTCCCTTCTAATATGTGTCATACTAACTTGCTCCGCTGCCCGCTGGATGACAGCTGATCAGGGACTCGTCAGGGAGAACGCCCTTCAAGAAGCACCCACCTCCACCTTCAACCCCACTCCGCTCTCTCGGCGGTCTCTATCTAGGGGGCTTCAGGGTTTTCCTTCTCTATTGAGATTTGGCAGAACAGGTTTTCAAAGAAAGGAAAAGGGAGAGTTAGAAGTAACTGTATTGGTAAGCGTCATAAATAAGTGGCATGATCACCCCTGAAACGCGGCGACGAGCACCCAGTTTGGCCGCGAGGCCACACCGGCAGGCGTCCTCAGGCCAAACGCCCGACTCAGCCTCCCCACCCTCCCGAACTGCACGTTCAGGCCACGGTCACGTGACCGGGAGCGGCGCGCGCCGGCCGCGGCCCCGATTGGCGGGCGGCGGGAGCGCGGGGTTTGATGGGAAGGAGTTGGCAGGGCCCCTCGGTCTGTCAGTGGCGGCTGCTGCCTGCTCCGGAGGCAGGCTGCGCGGTGGCGGCCCAAGCTGGCAGAGGTGGAAGCCAGCGCCGGGCTTTGCCCGCGTCTTGAAGGTAGAGTGCTCACACGGAGGGCAGTTAGGAGGGCTCGGCAGAGGGGCTGCGCGCTGGGCTTTTCCCTGGGAAGTACGCTCGCGGTTCCCCCGCTTGCCTCTCCCGGGCGCCCCCGCCCCACGCCGAGTGGCCTAAGAGCTCTGCGGCCGCGGCGGCGTCTAGTCAGACTCGCCCGCCGGGTCCCTTTGATTTCCCCACACAATGGCAGGGGTGGCTCTGGAGTGCTGGAGACCCCTTTCTGCCCCCCAAGGGGAGGTGGGTCCCCTAGCCCTGTTCTCGGAGATTCCGGGGCTTTGACTTGAGTTGAGCTGAGCATCCGCTCTGTGGCCCACCTCTGCCGAGGCGAAGGGTCATAAGGTCCTCCGCTGAGCTGCCGCTTCGAGGGCTCTCCCCAGCTCCTCTTTCTGAGTTGTGAGGAGGCGACACCAGTTGGAAGGATCACGAGGGACCGAAAACTGTCAGTGTCATGCTGCTCGGCCCAGGCGTGTGTGGGCGTGGAGTATGTGCTGCTTAGAGAAGCCCGTGTGTACAGTTGTCCTTATTTGAGGGGTGGTGGGCGGTGGAAGGCGTGAAGGGAAGGGCCAGGTTGCTTAGGTGTCATCAGCGTGGCAGAAGAAGAGCAAATCTAAACTACATCAGTAGTTTTAATTCTTTAATATGGTGTATGGGGACTAAGAGAGGGTTGGGATCGGGGAACTCAGTTTTGCTGGTGGTTCCCTTTCAGTGCTGAGCAAAACCTGTGACTCACTGAGTTTTCCACATTCTGCTTTCCCCAGTTGGCTGCTGGTTTGTGGTGCCCAGTGTCCACTGTTTTCTCCTTTCTCTGTGGCCTGGGTGTCACCATTGACAAAACTACTCCTATTCAACGGCGGTTTGTGTGGCGGTGAGCTTGGGTTCAGACATATGTTCAAACTGGCAGGGAATGCTCATCTCTTGTCCTCAGCAGTCCCCATAGTTCAGCTTTAGGGGGACCAAGTTGATTTTGAACACATTTTTTAAAATGAGTGATGCATTTAATTAAAATCAGAAATTGAAGTTGCTCTGTCATCTACTGAGGTCAGCCCAATGCTGTTAATAAACTTATATTGTGTTTATATCTTGTTAAAATGTAAAAGACTATAAGAAAAGGAAAAAAGTTATTGGCTATCAAACAAGTATGATTTCATATAGAAATCTTTCTAATCAGATAATCATTTTTGGTAGTATTTAGTTCAGAATGAACATCGACTTACCCTGAAGACCAGAAATTAATCACCATATAGTAAAAGTGGTTTTAGAGCTGTACTACGTTTCAATAATTTTATTTTTTAGCAATAAATGTGGCAGTTTGAGATATTTCAGAATTGCCTTTTCAAATAGGATATTTGAAATATAGAGTTCTAGAATAAATTACTTTTAATCTTGAGTAGTACAATATATTAAAAAGGTACTGTTGATAGTGATTGAATAGTTTCTACTTAAGTTTAAAACTTGATAAACATAAAGCTAAAGTTTGTTTGCTGTTAAAGGCCTACAGGTTATTTTAATGAAAGAGCCTGCAGAGTGTTTTTCTTTTTTATATTAGAAAAAATGAGAGCAACACAATTTCAGTTAAAATACAAACTGCAATTTTATTTTCCAGTTTTAAAGTTATGAAAGAAGTCTTTTTGTAGGAAGTTAGGAAGAAATGCGTTCATATTAGAAGTATTATCTGTACTACATGTATTTTCTGGTAATAGTAATAACAATGGTTACAATTTATTATGCACTTAAAATTTATTGGACACTGTGCCAAGTGATATATTATTTCATTTAATTCATACAACAATTCTGTGAAATATAGATATTTTCACCACTTTACAAATGTGGAAACTGAGGCTTAGAGTTTAATTTACCCAAGATCACATAGCTAGTATGTAGTTGAGTCATATTTTGAAACTAGACCTTTTTTTTACTCCATTATTTTAATATAACTTGAAGTGAGCTGAAAATTTAAGAATAACATGCCCCAAGATTTTAAATTCTGACATCTAAGCCTGAGTGTGAGTTGCAGTTGATAGAAAACATCCAAATAATATGGTGGGCATTATTATTCATTGAAAAACATGTTAGATGCACCTAACGTTTAAGGTCATGTCAGATACAATTGTGATAGAGTGGAAAGAGACTCTCTGTACATGTTCATGGAAGAGTTCTTGGGGACAAGCCACTTGAGATTGAGCCATCTGTCCACTCAAGGGCAAGCAAATTGATTTATGTTTCAAAAAGAAATGCTAGTTATTTGGTTCCCATGTATTTTCCATGTGTTGAAGCAGAAATGGACTAGAAAACAGCCACGATCACAGCCATTAAAACAACAGTTTGTAATGAGAAATTAGAATGTTAGGCACTGCTGTAAATACAGAATGCATTATGTCATTTAAGCCTTTCAACATTTAAGAGGGTCCTTAACTATCCCTACTTTGCAGATGAAGATATTGAGTAACTGAGGTGAGTAAATTATTTGCCCAAATTTCATGGTAACTAATGGGCCATAGTGATTGGAGTTAGGATGTTTGGGTGGCAAGGATGGAAAAGGTGTTTGAAAATAGAAGAGATATGAAATTAATACTATAGAAAAATAGTTGATTTATTGAATTTTGTTATGCTTTCATATATTTTGGAAAGTACTACCATTGCATGTGCATTATAGTAAATCAGCTTCTTTAACAAATAGTACTAGAATTTGATAGGAAAACTGCTGGAACAATGAGGTTGACTGGTTCTTTGATTACCAACCTGAAAGCATGGATATGGCATTTAATGATTTTTACCCTACTGTTGTTTGAGAGGACAAATTGAAAAGCACAATCCTCTGCTTCAGGGATCTTGAAGGCTAAGCCAGAGTTTGTTTCATTAACACTGAAACAATTCTCCAAGCAAATAATTGATGTCAAAGTTGGTATTAATTGCAATTTTATGCATATATTTCATCTTACACTTATTTTAAAAGTGATATACAGTAAACAAGTAAAAGCCGTGCTGGTAGACTTCTAGTGCCAGTTCTGCCCCTAGCTGGGCTGCATGATTTTGGCAAATCATTTTTAGCTTCTCTTCCATGCAGATTTATGCATTCAAATGAAGGAATTAGGCTACATGATACACTGTACTAACAGTCTCTTGTGTTTATAACTCACTTTCCACTTCAGTAGCTCTGTTTACCAGCTATTTGAGAATGTCATAGGTCCTTTCATATATTTTATATGTAAATATTCCAATCCAATCTATATAAAGCAGACTTTATTTCTGATTTTGTGTTATTGAGACTAACTGGTTGCTTTAAAAAAAGATCGAAACTAAGATGCCATGTCTGGCTCTGTTACTTAATATCTTTGGGGCCTTAGCAAGTTAGTTCACTTCCCTAGCCTGAGTTTCCTCACTTGTAAAATGGAGCAATAGTAGTATCTAAATGATAAAATTCATGTAAAGCATTTGTTTTAGGCCTTGCTAGAGAGTACGTGCCTACCAAGTATTTAGCTGATATTGTTATCATTGTTCTTATTACTCTCAAATATTAAAAATTCTGATTTGTGATGGCTACAAATTTAACTTTTAGGCATGTTACTCTGTTACAAACCAAAATGTGTCAGTCAATTGTGTACAAAACACTGTGCTAGACACCATACGTTAGTTCCAAAATAGTGGGATGATGTATACTTTGAAAATACCAAGTTGAAGTGGTTCATCTACATGTCTCCTCCCCAGTCACCTTTCTTGGTGATTATTTTTAGCATCTTAAGATGGTTTTAAGATCTATTTAATGTCTTAAAGCAGAAATTTATACTTTTATTCATTAAAGTTCCTGTATTTCCTACAACTGCATTTTAGAAATTTGAATACTGAATTAACATTGAAGGATTAATAATATTTAGATTGCAACTTAAATGTGGCTTATAACATTCATTATATTTATGAACATCAAAAAATTTCAGGACAGATTATAGGTATTTCTGTCCCTAGAAATTACTTTGTAAGTGAAAGTGTTTCATAATTAGGCTCTTCGTTACTTCTTTAACCAAGAAAGTCCAAGATAGGCATGGCTCATGCTAATTCCAACCTATAAATAGTGTTGCAGAGTGAATGTACTAACTTGGTACTGACATTATTTTGTGATTACATTCATGGTTTTAAAAAAATGTAAGACTATGGCCTAACTTTTTTTTTTTTATGGAAATGAAGTGGTTTTATACATTGATTGTATATACTGTAACTTGGTAAAAATATATAAGTTTGAAAGTATACTTTTACTGTTTCAACTTAAAAGAATAAAAATTTATATAATTATTGACTGGTAAGCTGTTTTAGAATGTAATATTGCTGATAAATTTTCATACATATGGTAATATTATAATACATTTCAGAGTGATAGAAAAACAGCTAAAAGAAGGGTACATACAACTAGCTGACATGAAGGTCAACTAACCTGAGGGGAACTTAGATGCGATTTCAGAGAGAAATGTTTATTTGGGTGTTGAATAGCAGTGAATAGATGAGAAGTCTGAAGATAGAGTGGCTTTGGGCCATGCTTCTTCTGAGCTATTGGACAAATCACTAAACCTCTTTTCACTTAATTTTCTTATCCGTAAAATGGTAATAATGAAGGCTGTCCTGTGAAAAGTGATAGTATTATTAACTTTAACTTTCAGAAAAGAACTAAGGCTCAGAAACATTAAGTGATTTACTTAAGGTCACAGGTAGCCTTGTAATCCTTATTTTTTTTATTGAAAATCCAGCTGACTTTCTATTATTACTTTTAAGGTGATGTTATTCTAAACATTGTAAAACACCCCTAATTCTAAATAACTAGTTTAGTTGGGAGGCAGCAGAATGATAGAAATAGTTGTATTTAAGCATATAGAATGAAAGTAATATAGTAAAACTTTTCTTATAAGAACAACACAGGGGACCCACTTTAAAGAACAGAAAATTGCAAAGTGGTATGAATGTACACTTCTAAAATGCCTTGCTATTATGAAGGCTTTCCAGATTTATTTCCACTTTTAAATATGTCCTGGCTTGGAAGAAAGGATTATTTTAGACGGTGAACTTTATCCCAACTGCCTAAATTAAAATTCCACATAAGTGGAGTCCAAAGAAATTAATCTTTTATTGTATTTTTAGGCAGTATTACAACATCTAAATTCTATAGTGGGTATACTGTGTGTTATAACTTAAAAATTTTAAAATACTTTATTTCTAGCTGTGAAATCCTTTGGACAATTGATGATATTTATCATTGTGCTCAGTTTCTACAAATAAAAGATGGGTGGATTATTTTCTCGATGGAGGGTAAGTTATTTTTCTTTATAGCCAGTTTGTAGTCTAATATGAAAGTGTCAAGTAAAACTATTTATAAAATTCTCCTTTGTGGTGTAGACTTGAATGTTCGTTTGATATTATCCCTTACTATATTTATTTTTTTTCTTTCTTATGAATTAGTTTTTTATTTGGACTTTAGTAGTTTTATTTGCTGTATAGGTGTCTAATGTCTCTGTTTAACAGGATTATTTCACTCTTGACTTATGAATTGTTTTTATTTCTCTATTTATGCATTCATGTACAAATGGTTATCTTTTCTTCTTTTCTTCTCATTGTACCTAAATTTCAATGTCATTTGAAAAAGAGTTGAAATTAAATATTTTATACAATACTTAGTTTTTACAGGCTATATTCTTTTGTTTAAAGCTTGTCACAAATATTTACTGAGGTCACACTAAATATACTTTTAGGAATTATAGGTTACACAAAATTAAAAATATAGTTTGATTTTATTGGTTAAGACTTTAGAGGAAGTATCTCAAATTTAGAGCTATAAAATTAAAATATATTTATAAATGCTCTTTAATATAAGAGGAGATAATGTAGTCTAGGACAAATTACTTTGCTTATTATTTTTGGACTCCTTTTTACTGTAATAATGGAGTCTAGCAATACTTGGTACACAATTTAGTTTTGAGCTATTGCTGGAACTATTTTGTTCTGGATTGGCATTATATTGAACCCACTGCCCCCCTCCCCCCCAAACAAAACAAAAGAAAAGAAAACAAAACAAACAAACCATCTTTTAACAGTTTTGCCTGAGGATCAAATTTATCTATTCTTCCTTTGTCTTTCTTGTTAGGTTGAACCATATGAAATTGCCAATATTCAACAGCTTTGACTTACATAAATAGCAATTTCATATGGTTCAACCTAATGTTAACTACTCTTGTGGGAAATACAATTAATTGATATTCATTATACTCTTAGATTGTTGAGTATATAATTGGTAAATATTTTCTCAAGTGTTGTGTGAGTCATTTAGGTTGGTTTTTATTCTAGGTGGTATAAAAAGCATCTTTAAAAAATAAGCTCTGCTCTAATGAAGTATTCTTAGATGCCCTTTTAAAATCTGATCTTCCAAAAAAGTACTTTAGGAATTCACAATGAAGGTAGCCTGTTGATTTTGACCTCCAGAGTCCTAAGTGAACTTATAGCAGTAGCAAATCAGACCATCTTTAGTCTTGAATTTTTTAATACATAATTTCTTTTAAATAATAGTATCTTAGAAAATGTTTTTTGGAGGAAACTTTGTTTCTATAAAAGTATGTTTTGTTGGGATTAAGAATGGTAAAAATTGAGCTATTAGAGTTGAAAAGTATTTCTAGGACTAAAATAAGTATTAAAATGCTTATTTAATCTTATATAGTTCTGTTTATAATTATATTTTTATTTAAATATTAAATCTTATTTATAAATAAAGAGGAATACATATTGCCTGACAACATTTGAAAAAAAACCAATTGTGGATTAAAGTGTCCTTTTATGATTAAATCAAGGTGTTTCTATGTTTGCAGTAACAAGTTTTAATGCTGTCTCTTATTTTGATTTCTATAACAGGCAAAACCTTCAACTGTAGAAGTTTTGGAAAATATAGATAAGGTATGTACTATGGCCCTGGGGCATTTTAATTCATTTTAGGTGTTATGTAAATATTTTAGTATATGTTCTTTTGGAGCTTGGATCTGGTATGGAAATTTAAAGATGATATAGAACAAGCATGAGAACTTTAATGTTACATGATCTCAAAAAAATCCAAAGTCTATCAGTGACATAAGAAGACTGTGTCAAGTAATAGAGTCTGTTAGAATGAAATTAGATCTACAGCCTGGTGTAAATCAATGTTACAGATAGTATAAAGTAGATTATAAGATAGTCTGCAACAATTTTTATTGGTCTGCAAACTTCACAGCTTTTTATGCTTTCTATCATTATCAAAAATGGCTATTCCATGGGAATACTGAGAGTGAGTAATAGATTGAAAGACTATAGTATGGGTCACTCTTTCAATTTTTATTCTTTCTTTTTATAGCCAGACTTTTTTATAGGCATTATACAGGAAGAATTATTACTTGCTTGGTTTAACAAATACTATTTATTGATACCAGTTTCATACTTCTGATCTTTGCTAATTTGATAGGTTAAAAATAGTATCTAAATTTTGCATTTAAAAAAGTAATTTGTCAGAATAGGCATTTTTATTTTTATCTTCATTTTTAGTTTTCTTTTTCATGTTCCTTTTAAAATGTTAAGGTATTATATTTCATTGAACTTTAAGAATTCCTTCTATATAACCTCTCATGTTAAAAATTTTGTTAATATTTTAATATATTTATGAAATTTGAGATTAATATAAAACAATTTTCTCTTAATAGGAAATTCAAGCATTGGAAGAATTTAGGGAAAAAAATCAGAGACTACAAAAATTATGGGTTGGAAGATTAATTCTTTACTCCTCAATTCTCTATCTGCTTACATGTTTAATTGTATACTTGTGGTATCTTCCTGATGAATTTTCAGCAAGACTTACCATGACACTCCCATTTTTTGCTTTCCCACTGATGTAAGTAAATTGTTCATTTTGTTGACCTTTCCTCTTTCTGATCAGATAATGTTAATATATTTAGTCTCTTTTTTATTAGGAAATAGCAATGTCTCAGATTGAATAAAATTGTTTTTTTTTTTTTTGCAGTTTAAAAAATATTTCTTTAAAAAAGTAGAACAGTTGTTTTAAACCTTTCTTTACATACCCGAGGAATATGACCCAGTGACATTAGTAGCAATGGCTCTAAACGACAATCTTTTGTGATACTCTAATGGATGGTCATGCTTCCCTAGGGGTATTAGGCGTGGACAGGGCATTGAGAGAGGGTTTGTAAAACAAAGGAACTGCCCCAGTTATTTGAATATGTTCTATCCATCCCACCTCTGTTCCTCTCTTTTTAGTCACTGCTATAAAGCAATTGATCCTTACAGAAATATTTTATAACAGCATATTACAGAAGGTGTGTTGTGACTGAGAATTTTGAGAGACAATTAAATTAAAAATTTGTCCATTCAATCAACATTTATGGGTACCAATTGTGTATAGACATTGGATTATAATTTTTGTACACAAAAATACAAAATTTCTGACTGTAGATCTTAGGCTGCATACATTAAATTAAGCAATAAGTATGATGAATATTATGAAAGAGAAGTGCCTATTGCTATGGGAGCATTTAACAGGGGCCCTCAAACAGTCTGGGGTGGAGGTGGGGTTAGGGAAGGGCCTTTGTATTTGTTTTCTATTGCTGCCACAAGTTTAGCAGCTTAAAGCAACACCCATTTATTATATCACACCTGTGTAGGTCAGAAGAACAGATGGCTTGACTGGGTTCTCTGGTTAGTGTCTTAAAGGTCTAAATCGAGCTTATCAGCTGGTCTGGGGTGTTATTGGGAGTTTCTGGGGGACGAATCCTCTTTCAGGCTCAATCAGGTTATTGGCAACTTCTGCATCTCTCTGACTTCCTATTCTGCAGTTGGCTGAGAATGCTCTGCTTTTAAGGGTTTAACAGATTATATTAGACCCACCAGGATAATCCAGGATAATCTCCCTCTTTTAAAATCAACTGAGTAATAATTATATCTGCAAAGTTCCTTCACAGCAGCACCTAGATTACTATTTGACTATGTAACCAGAGGATGGAACTCTTGGGGAAGGAGAAGGATATCTTGAGGATTCTGCCTACCACAGCCTCCCTGAGGAAGTGATGTTTGAGTTTGAGATCCAAGGGATGAGGATGTGTATCAAGGGTGGGTGGCGTGACATGGTGGGTAGTGTTTTAGGCAGAAGGAACCGCATATTTGAAAGCCCTGAGAGAGGAGGGGGTATAGAGCCTGGTAGGTTTAAAGAGTAAAAGAGGGCAAAGAATGGATTATAGAGAAAAGTCTGGATAGTTAGGCAAGGAATATTTCTTGTGGCCTTTTAGTTCATTATAAGGATTTTAGGCTTTACTCTAAGTACTGGAAAGCCATTGAAGATTTTTTTTTTTGGTTTGGGTTTAGTTTCATTTGTAATTAATTCATTTTTTATTTTTATTTATTTTATTTTAGTTTTTAAATTTTATTTATTTATTTATTTTTGTTTTTTATTATTAGTTTCAGGTGTACAGAATAATGCAATAGTTGTCCTTTTCACGCCTCACAAAGTAACAACCTCCCTCCCCACATCCACTGCATTCCCACCCCCGATATCATACTTATCTATTACAATTCCATTGACTCCAGAAACAATATGACAAGATCATTTTGTTATTTATTTATTTAAAAAAAATTTTTTTAAAGATTTTTATTGGGGAATTGGGGGGATGGGAACAGCGCTGGGGAATTGGGGAAAGGGGAACATACAAGTTGCTGTCGTTTTG